AACATGTTTAAAATTGGGAAAATACAAACATTTTGAAGAAATAAGCACTATTAAATTTTGGCGTTTTTCTGACAGTTTTTATTCCATGCAAAAAAAAACTGGTAACAAGATAGAAATCATTTTTGTAATTTTGTGTTCCACTACACTTCCCAAATCCAATATATTTCAGAATTATTTTAATGGCTTCAAAATTCTCCATTACATGAATATGCTATGATGTATTTAAACATTGGTCTGTTTTTCTCATCTAGGGTGTTTTCCATTGTTTATGATCATAAATAATATTGAAAGCACATCCCAGTGCATATTTCCTTAAAGAATGATCCATAGAAGTAGAAATATATAAAATGGCAAGTAATTTCCTAAAGTAATAAAAACGCTATTTTTTTGTTTTAAAAGTACATGCTTACTATAAAGAAAAAAATTAAGAGATACAGAAAAGTGTAAGAAAGAAAAATTACCCAAAATTTCACTCCCAGAAATAACCATTATCGATACGTGGTGACATCGTTCCTAGCATTCCTCTATGCACATGTGCAGATGGGAAGGAAGGAGGAAGGTAGAAAAAGAAGGAAGAAAGGATTAAAGGGTCAGAAGTGAGTCAATCTGTACATGCTATATATATAACATCAAAATAGTATATTAATTTTTATTGAATTTATCAGAAGAGGGAACAACCCAAGAAAAACTGTCTTTCCTCCTTTATGTATAATACATTCTTTTACAGCAGATCTACTTTTTCATTGTAGACAAGAGGGAAAGGACAGAAAAAACACTCTTGGCTGGCATGAAGAAGAAAGGCATAATATTGTGGAAAAATGTTTTTGTGTTTGTGGGTGTCGTGACTGGCCAGTACAGGGATCGAACCCTTGACCTTGGTGTTAGCAGCACCATGCTCCAACCAACTGAGCTAACCAGCCAACCGCTGGAAAAATGATGTTAGTTTCATAATTTTACAAAAACATTTCAGTATTTGGAATCACACCAGAAAGTGACATTTATCAGAAAATCTCACTCACTTTAAAAGTTCCAGTTGCTCTTTAGGCATACGAAGTCTGGCCTGGAAAAAAGAGAGAGAGAGATAAATCATTCTGAATCCTTCCTATTCAAATAGAGTTATTTTTCTTTTCTCAGAAAGGAAAGGGGAAAGAAATCTCACTGGAGCCTTTGATACACGCCACGTGACAGCAGAGACACAGGAGCACCCTCTGAGGTGCCCGCACCTCTCTTGGCCTGACCTGTGCATGGTCATCATATTTGGAGGAGCTGGTGTAACACACAAATCTGTTTAATAATGACTGACATTCAACAGGAGCTCTAAGATGGGTACATAATTCTCTGTTTCTCAAGATTGTGAAAGTACTGAACAGAGTCTGAGGGGGGAGGAGGCGGGGAGGAAAGAAGGAGGGAGGGGAGGGCTGGTTTGGAAAAGCCCAGGGAGCGGATGACACCAGAGGGCCATGCTGAGCCCTTTAGGCTTGTCCCTGTAAACAAGGAGGGGACTCCCATGTACAAATAAGAAAGGGATGTGATTATCTGGGGGTTAGGTTAGCAATAACAATCAGAAGAATTACAGACATTTAACACTGACAAGGTGTCTGGTACGAATAGTCTCATGTTTGAACAGGTGGTGCCCAAACCAAGATGAGAATGACCACAGAGAAACGAGTTGCTCTTTTGGACACGCTGTGTGGCCATGGGGCCGCTATGGCGGCAGTCAGTAAGGAGCTGGACGCTGGAGAGAGAGTGGAGGCTGAGATGCAGGCAGGGCTCTGGGCTGCACCGAGTTGCTCTTTTGGACACGCTGTGTGGCCATGGGGCCGCTATGGCGGCAGTCAGCAAGGAGCTGGACGCTGGAGAGAGAGTGGAGGCTGAGATGCAGGCAGGGCTCTGGGCTGCACCCTGGCTACTGCACACCCTGTCACTCGGCCTGGAATGGTCAATGGCCTTGCCACCCCTTCTGCCCCCTGAGAAGACCTCGTTCCTCAGGCCAGGCTGGCCAGCACCTCTGTGTTCTCAGCTTACCCTGCTACGTGTCTTCCACATGTGGTGCTGGCTGCTCATGTTTCACACACGCTACTGTCTCCGGCCTGGGAACGTCCTGAAGCCTTGCACACCCTCCCCATCTGTCTGTACCCAGCGTGACACACACACACGCACACTCGCACACACATGCACACATTAACACACATACAGCACCTATTCCAACACAGGGCTTTTGCAGGAAGCCAGTAATACTACCTGTGTATAAAGTGACAAAAGGGGGCCAAAAGACAGAGCCTTGGGGACACCAGCGTTAAAGGGAGCAGACGTCAACACAGTGGCCAGGTGGCAAGAGAGGGAGGAGATATGTGGAAGGATGATCTTCTCCCAGGAGAACACCTATGGGGAAGGGCCTCTGACATCCTTTCTCTGCAGTCTGGAACCCACCTTCCCTGACATATTTTACTGAAAGTGGTTTATTGTTGGTTAGGATTGCAGCACCTCTGACCGCATGCCAAGAAAACAATGTGGAACAGGAATAATCCAGAATGAAAAGCTGATGCCAGCACTCGATTCTCCTGGGCTTAAATTATAACCTTAAATCTAGCAGGATTCTGGCAGCACTTCCAGAGTTCTGTCCCCACATAGTCCTCCTGCAAGGCTGGAAAGTAGACACCTGGGCATTTGCAGGTCACTCCCTTTCAGCAGCAAAGCTCACACTCAGGCGCCCAACAGAGAACTCAAAGTACTACATGAGTTTCCTGGCGCTGCCTTAAATGACTGCAAGCTGGGTGGCAGAGAACAACAGAGATGTATTCTCTCACACTCTGGAGGCCAGAAGTCTAGGTCAAGGTGTCTGCGGGGCCACACTTTCCTCTGAAGGCCCTCAGGGGGATCCTGTTTCTCTCCTCTTCCAGCCTCTGGTGGCTACAGGCATTCCTTGGCTTGTGGCTGCGACACTGCAGTCTCTGCCTCTGTCTGCCTGCAGCCACCACCTCTTCTCTCATGAGTCTCTCCTCTGCATGTCGTCAATAAGCACACTTGTCATTGGATTTAGGGCCTTCTGGGTAATCCAGGATGACTTCATCTCAAGATCATTAATTACATCTGCAAAAACCCTTTCTCCAAATAAAGGTCACATTCACAGGTTCTGGGGGTCAGGATGTGGATCCTTTGGGGGGGCACCTTTCAACCCCCTACAGTGACCATCAATGTGTTATCTGGAATGCTCCCTCTTTCTCCACTGATTACTCTGCTTTTCTGTTCAAAAACTCTGACTTCCTCTCAGTTTGCTCTGCCTAAAACAGTGCAGCTCACAGAGGAACATTCCACAAACGCTGTTGTGGGGTGTGTGATAATGGTTTCAGAACAGAATGTGGTGTGGCACACAGAAAAAATTGTCTTGCTTTATTTCCTGAGCAATTTAATGTCTTGTATGCTCTCCTTGACATTTCTCGTTGGACAGGGACATGGATATTGGAGCTTATTATTGGTAGGTGGAGATTCTTATGTCTAGTTTTTCAGATTCTGTTCGAGTAAGTTCCCTGTCAGTAGGGGCAGCGTATTGTACTATTTTTTTTTTCTGTTCTAGCCTTAGAAGAACATATAGGAAGTACTCTTTAATTCACTGATAAATGAATTTGAGAGTTCCTTGAAAACTAACATTCTCCACAATGTTTAAAACTTTTTTATTTTGCCTCATTCCCAAAAGCATTTTTCAGGCAGGTCCCACTATAGGAATATGAATAGTATAAAAACATGTAGGACAAAAAAATAAGGGAGAAAATAAAAATGAAGAGAAAATAAAAATTGGAAAAGATAACAGAAGTATGTGGTTGGAACATGTTCATGCCTTAAATTCCTAGAAGCTATTAGTCATGGGCCATAAACTTGTTTTTGAGCATCATAGAATCGTAGCAACCAAATTGGGGTGGGGTGGGGTGGGGAGGCAATGACCAGAATCTACAGCATCCACAGTGAGAAAAAAGAATCAAGTGTTGCAGAGGCTGCTTTGTGTACAGTTCACAATCCCTCTGCAATACTCCTGGTGATAAGATCGGTGTTGGGTTTCCTAAGAACTTGCCTAGAACAGCCCTCCCTGCTGACCTGGATCTTTTCTCCAGGTCTTATGTATTAGTGGCTTGATCTTCACTATGACTGTCTACAGCGTGGGAAATCCCATTATAGTAATTGAAAGGTGGGGCCTTGAAGAGGTGATTAGATTCTGAGGCCCCTGCCTAGTAAATGGATTAAAAATGGTGGCCAGTGGTGTGATTCTGGGGCTTTAAAAGGAGACTGCACAAGGAGCTATCTCTCTCTCTCTCTCTCTGCTATGCCATTTTCTGCCATGTGAGACCCGTGGGTTTCTGTCACTACCACCAAGGCTTTCATCAAATGTGTCCCCTGGGGCCGGCCTGGTGGCGCACTGCGCTAGTGCGCTGCTTGGGAAGCGCGGAGGCGCTCCCACCGAGGGTTCGGATCCCACATGCAGACCGGTTCCCACTCACTGGCTGAGCGAGGCGCGGGGGCAACACCGAGGGCTGCGATCCCGTTGCCGGTCCCGGTCCAGTGCGGGGGCAACACTGAGGGTTGCGATCCATTGCCGGACACGGAAAAAGACAAAAAAAAAAAAAATGTGTCCCCTGGATTTTGGACTCTGCAGCCTCTGGAACTGTAAGCAATAAATTTCGTTTCTTCAAAAATCACCCAGATTCTGGTATTTAAGTTACAAGCAACAGAAATGGGCTAATCCAGAGGCAAAGCCTCACCAAATGTTAGGATGTCCAGAACATTTGTTAGCAGCACAGCCTCCAGGGATATTGTTTTCTGCAACAAAGCTCCTGATAAAACCTCCGTGCCCAATCCTAATAATGGAGCAGAGGAGGACACGTCTGCACGTGCAGTCAGTTGAGCAGGTATAGGACTTACAGCCTCCTGAGATAGAAAGGTGTCTAGTAGAAGGATGCAAAGAAATAGCTACATGCAGAGCCACAGTTTTATTTGCTTTTTGTTTTTTCAGATAATGTTGACTGAGACCCTAAGTTTTACGGCTTAGAACATGGCTCCAGTAATTTGAGCTGGGACAAATTCAATGAAATGTTAACAGATGTCTCACATGGCCATTAAAAAAAAAAAACTTTTTTTTCTCAGCAAAATCCTATAAGACATCTAATTTCAAACCATATAATTTTGAGATAAATCCTAGAAGATATAATAATGGTTGCAGACTGTTCCCCCAGGTAAATAATTAAGCTTGTTCCTTAATATAGGATTTTATATATAATCCAATTAAATGTTGAAGTAAGTAATTTGAAATCATTGGTCTTGAACTCTTCACTGTGATTGCTATGGCTTGAATGTTTATGTCCCCTCAAAATTCATGTTGAAACTTAATCCCCACGGTGGTGGTGTTAAGAGGACGGGCCTGTTGGGAAGTGATGAGGTCATGAGCGCTCTGCTCTTGTGAAGGGATAAGTGCCTCATAAAAGGCTTGGAGGGAACTAGTGAAGCCCCTTTTGCCCTTCCACCTGCTGCCATGTGAGGACACTGAAGAAGACCCTCAGCACACACAGAATTCAGCACCTTGATCTTGGACTCCCCAGCCTCCAGAACTGTGAGAAATACATGTCTGTTCTTTATAAATTACCCAGTCTGTGGTATTTTGTTATGGCGGCACAAATGGACTAAGACAGCAATGGTGATTCTAAAGTCACTGAGGCTGCACAGTGTGGAGCAATAATTCTCTCCCTCAGCTCTGCAGTGAGCAGACGGCAGGCCCAGTGTCTGCAAAGTCTGGGCTGGAATTTCAGCTCTGGAATTGGCAGCTGTGTAACATCAGACTAGTTTTCTTCATTGTTCTGATCCAGCTTCCTCATCTACAGATGAATTTAGTAATGCTCTTATTAAAGGGTCATTTTGAGGATAAAGTAAAATGTGTATCACTGTTGGTGCATAACTATTATAATCCTGTTCCCCATGGTGGCAGATGAGGCACATACAGCTTTTTGAAAAGCAATATCAAGTCATTAAGTTTCAATATAAAGGTCATCTAAAAACAATAAATGTTCTTTTTTTATCCTTCTTTTAGTTTATCCTAAGTAAATAATCAGGATGGGTAGAAAGATTCAGCCACAACGATGTTTATGTTTATAATACTGAAAAGCTGAAAACAATCCAGTTGTTCTGAAATAAGTATTTATTGAATACATATTTTATTCATTATGTTCGGATATTATTCATTGGATTATCAGTCAGCCATAAAATGCTGTTACAAAATAATATCTAAAGACAAAGGAATATGTTTAGAATCTGTTGTTATTAAATGAATAAAAACAAGCCACAAAACAGCATCTATTGCACATAGTTTGGGACCTATAAAGGGCTCACACAGAAATAACTCAATTCAGTCTTAAGTGATTTCCAACAGAGCTCTTGTCTGTGTGAAAACCAGAGTAAACTGTACAAAAAACCTAAACCTCAGCCTCATAGAAAATACCATCCTTAGAAACACAGTTTAGAAATTTTTAAAGGGAAAGCATTGTTGAGTATGATGATCAGTCTAAAGCTGGGAGGTGAAAGGGCAGGATGCTTTTTTTAAATGGAATAAACAACATTCAGATCATTCATTCATTCATGTAGAATTTTATTGAGTCTCCAGGTACCTAGGGACAATCTTAGGCTCTAGACAAGCTCCCTGCTCACTACATTTTAGCAGAAGGGGAAGAAGGCAGGAAAAGAGTTGGTAAAGAAAATAATGACAGTCTTGAGATAAAGGAGCGGTACCTTTAGGATGTCCCTCTACCTGGATGTTGTCTCAGGTAGTCTGAGTTTTCACAGAAGCCTGTCTGAGGATGTGACATTCATGCTGGGCTAGAATGTCAGAAAGGAACCACCTTGCAAAGAGTGTGGCAGAACACTGTGGGCAGACAAGGTACCCAATATTCAGGCCCTGAAGGAATCTGCCATGAATGTATTATGACTGTATTAGTCAGGGTTCTTCAGAGAAACAGAACCAATTTGATGTATATATAGAGAGAAATCTATTTCAAGGAATTGGCTCACATGATTGTGGGGACCAGCAAGTGTGAAATTGTCAGGGCTGGCTGGCAGGCCAGAGAACCAGGGAGAAGTGCACATTACAGCTCAAGTCTGAAGGCCACTTGGAGGCAGAATTCCCTCTCTGTTGGGGATCTCAGTCTTTACTCTGAAGACCTTCACTGATTAGATGATGCCCACCCACATTGTGGAGGGTGATCTGCCTTACTCAAAATCTACTGATTTAAATGTTAATCATGTCTAAAAAATACCTTCACAGCAACATCTAGACTGGTGTTTGACCACTGGCTGCCCTCATTGCTCCTCTCTGTTTTTCCAGTGATGACCTAACAATCTGGCCTCAGTCTGGGTCCTAGTCTTTGTTGTGAGAATTTTGTGGTGTAGGAGATATTTCAGGATGACCCTTCCTGTGGGGTTTCCACATGGCTGTTCTCTTGCCTAGGACTAGGGGCTCACAGATTCTCAGTACGTGCAGAGTGAACAGCATCTTTGAGATCGGAGCAATTCCAGGCATCAACCTATGAACTTCCAGGGGAAGTTTCCTCACTAAACCAAACACTGTGATATGCAGTCTCCTTCCTTTGCACTTTGAACTCTGCATACATTCAAGAGGTTGCTCTTGACACACTGAGCAATTGCTAAACATGAGGTACTTCAAAAAATCCATGGATTCCATGTGGCAAGACACATTGGAATGAAGCAGTTGTTGGTTGAACTGAGAAGCAGAGGATTTCAGAGGCCCTGATGGAAAAGGGCATGAAGTATGTATCTGGGCAGTGAGGTCCAAGTCCACAGACTGGCTGGAATCCCTATGTGTTAAAAGGTCAGCACACAAGTGGAGGCGGTTCCATTTGTCTGTCTCTCCTTCCCATGAGCAATGGTAACCTGTCCATAGTCACCGTCCTCCCTCTAGTGTTCTGAAGTTCAAGCTCAGAATGGACAAGGCTCAGTCTGGAATGCTGGAGAAGTCATGAGGGAGGGGTGGACCAGAAAGAGGCTATTCAATGACCAGGCTCAGTCTAAGGCCATTTAGATCTAACTAGCTTCAGGACAAAGGGGAGCACTATACCGTTGAGTGTCAGGCAGAAGTTAACAATAAGGATTTATTTGCCATTTTTCCTTGTGCTTGAGCTTCTCTTGAGGATCCTGCAGGGATTAAAGGCTTCGGATAATTTTTAGGGCCTGTCAGCCATAAAACCACTTATTAGAACTCCATTAACTACATTATTTCTATTAGATATTATCACACAAGAAAAAGACGACATATTGCAAGTTGGATTTGTCTTGTCGCATATTAAATTTTCCATGAGTGGCAGACAAAATGACATAACAAAACATCACCTGGTACTTATGAAGCCTTGAACCATATTCTCCAATTACAGCATATAATTGTCTGGATTTCTGGGGAAACTCTGTTTCTTTAAGCCAGTGATAATTTTGAAGTCCTGTTAAAGAAAAGACCAACTCTGATTAAAGAGTTTACCTGGAAACATTTATAAAACATTTTACATGTATTAATAGGAATTTTTCTATATATATACTCTTAAAAAGAATATCAGATCCTTGGGTGAAATCATGGAAAATGGTGGGGTAGGGCACTCTAAGAATCAGTCCTCCATAGAAACAACCATAAGCTGGCAGACTGACAGGATCAACTTTTTTGGAACTCTGGTATCTAATCCAAAACCTACAGCAATCTCTGAAAGAGGACTGAAGAAAGGGTGGCTACTTTTTGGTAAAAAAAATATTGTGGTATTTTCCATCTTCCATTCCCCAATATGGTGTTGGCAGTGGCAGGGAACTGGCAGACTGACAGGATCAACTTTTTTGGAACTCTGGTATCTAATCCAAAACCTACAGCAATCTCTGAAGGAGGACTGAAGAAAGGGTGGCTACTTTTTGGTAAAAAAATATTGTGGTATTTTCCATCTTCCATTCCCCAATATGGTGTTGGCAGTGGCAGGGACAGCAGTTCATATTCCTAGCAGCAAGTACAGATCTTGTTTTTAAAATACTGTGGTCATCAGTTTTGACCCACCCAGTGGTTCCCTGAGGGGCTGACACAGAGGCTGATGTTTGTTTTATCCCACCACATTGGGCTAAAGTGGCTTTCTAGGAGGTGGCAATATCTGTTGAAAGAGTAAAAGATATATACTGCCCATGCCCACCTGGATCAAGAGATGATAGATGAGGGAAGTGGCAAACGGACCCAAAAGCCCAGGAAGAAAGAGGCAGGCTCTTGCAGGAATAGGGCTTGGAAAGACTGTTGCATATATCAGGGAAGAGGACATGCAATGTGCATGTTCAGGACTGGATGCATGCTCAGAAAATACCCAGAGAGGACACTAGCCCTGCACCTCTGATGGATCTGTGGGTTCCATGCAAGCAGGAGGTGAAAGCTAAGGTAGAGTTGTATGTGTCCTGTCTTAACCTTGAAGGAGTGTCCCAGCTTAAAGCCAAGCTACAAAAACTGGGAGAGTAATCTATCTGTCTCTGTCTGTCTATCTCTGTCTCTCTCTGGATCCAGGAATTCAAAGAAATACCTTCAATTCCCTGGCTGACCACTGAGATAATGAAATCGTGAAAACACATGACAAAAATACAACCGACAAAAATATTTGGGAAAAGTCACCAAACAAACAAATGACTGCAGCCTTCAACAAGCAACAGCAGCAAACCCTGGGGAAAGGAAAAATGCCTAATTTTCAACACAATATGACATGGTATACAAAGAAAGAGGAAAGCACGGTCCATTCATAGGAAGAAAAAAAATGACATAAATCATTCCTGAGGAAGTTCAGACATTGGACTTACTAGAAAAAAAAGTTTAAATCAACTATTTTAAATATGTTTAAAAATTAAAGGAAACCATGGACAAAGAACTAAAGAAAACCAGGAAGATAAGCTACAAACAAAATGAGACTATCAATAAAGATAAATTATAAAAGAAAGCAAATATAAATTCAGAAGCTGAAAAGTAGAACTAAAATTAAAAATTTACTGAAGGAGCTCAAAAGCAGATTGGAGATGGCAGAAGAATCAGTGAACTTGAAGATAGGTCTATCAAAATTATTGAGTCTAGGGCCGGCCCATGGCTCACTCAGTAGAGTGCAGTGCTGATAACACCAAGACCACGGGTTCAGATCCTATATAGGGATCGCCGGTTTGCTCACTCGCTGAGCGTGGTGCTGACAACACCAAGCCAAGGGTTGAGAGCCCCTTACCGGTCATCTTTAAAAAAAAAAAAAATTATTGAGTCTGAGGAATGGAAAGAAAAAAGAAAAGTGAACAAAGCCCAAAAGACTTGTGGGACACCAGTAAGTGAACCAACACATGCATTGTGATAGTTCCAGAAGAAGGAGAGAAAGAGAAAGGGGAAGGGAGAATATTTGAAGACATAATGGCTAAATTTAATGAAAAGCATGAATGTGCACATCCAAGCTCAACAAACTCCAAGAAGAACAAACTTAAAGAGACCCACACTGAAACACATTATAATCAAACTATTGAAAGACAAAGACACAGAGAGAATCTTGAAAACAGCAAGAGAGAAATGACTTGTCATACA